TTCTTTAAAGCAAAATATTGGATGGATCCAAAATTACAAGAGACTCAAATGTGGAAAGCCCGCCCCTTTTTCTAGATGAAAGCAGTAAATCCCCAACATCTCTAGACTCATGGAGCATTCAACTTCATTTTCTCATGAAGCATTGTAATCCAGCCCCTGTCTCACTTCTACTGCACTATTAAGGCTGCCAAATTTCTTTTCAAGACCAGACAGGTAGTTTCCATCCTGCAAAGTTAAAACTTCCAGCCCACAAATGTCTTCTCTTCTAAGTCACGAAGTAGGGAAGTCAATGAAATCAGACCTACTCTGAAAGTCTAAGGCAGCTGAAGCAAGTAAAAATGCTGCACTTCTGGAAGCCTGTGCCTTATGACTTCCAAGGGCAAAGGAAAGCAAGATAAAAGATTCTTTCCAAAGGAGAACTAACTGTACTAGTTTCCTAAGATTGTCCTGGTTTTAAGCATGGAATGTCTCTCATCCTGGGAAACCCCCAGTCTTGTGCATACTGGGACACTGGGTCACCCTAAAATAAATACTTAAATTGTAACTGGCAAAATTAAGGTTCAGTGGAAAAACCTACTTGTTTGATTTTTAGACTTATGTATTTTTAATATAGGTAGAATAAAAAAAGCACAGTGACTAAGTGATAAGAAGCTGTCCTTATCTAGTCAAATCCTGTAGTCTGCCTGGGTAGGTACAGTGGGTCATTTGGAAGCACTTATTCTAACTGCAAACTTGACACCTAGAAGGAAATAATTAGTTATGGAGTTAATAAATATCCCTTAGTTATTGCGGGCTGATCAGGTCTGCAATCTCCTGAATGAGTGTATGGTGAAGGCTAAATAAAAAGAGGCAAATGAAATGACTTCAGGGTCCCAGGAGGATCAAACCTCTCACATAATTCAAGATTCTCTTGGGGCTAAGACCTCGACCTTCTCTGGGTCCCCATATTCATTTGGTTATCAGAAGGGAGGGGAGTACTCAAGAAGGGGAGAACCACTCAAGGACTTCTCTAAGTAAGGTATTAAGTCAATCTACTGAAGAATGAGACATGTGAGGCTATACTCTTCATGTAGTTGAGATATGACCCAGGTACCCTTGGCTGTGATCTTGTGTTGTCCTTTGAGGTTTTCTGGCTTCATCCACCACTACAGGTTCAAGTAGGGATTAGTGACTCACAGAGGTTCACTTATTATGAATCCACCATTTCCAGATAAGGAGCCTAGGCCTTGGACAGATTCACAAGTGAACATGGAAAGCCAATTGGTTAATATTAAATCCTGCTCAGAGCCACTTTGTAGTGGTCTTCAACAATTAGTCTTTACAGGGGTCTCTTTGAAAATCTAAACCTGAAAGTGACCCCTAACATCCTCCAGGGCAAGCAAGGAGAAAGTTTCCAAAGGAAATTTAACATTTTCAACTATGGAAGGTCAAGGAAGGAAAAAGTGTGAACTGACTTTTAGACAGCAAACCTGACGACACAGTGGGGTGGAAGCCAGATTTCTGGGCCCAAGAAGGGAGCCTAGACCATCCCAGACCACTTTCATAGCACAGCTTTCAGGGAAGAAAGTAAGGCCCTGGGACCACAGTTAGGGTGTAAACAAGGTCAAGAGAGCAACGTGTCAAAAAGGAGGAAAGTCCAGTGTGACAAGGAGATAGCCAGTTGACCGTCATAGCAAGGTGCCCTGTAGCATCCAGACTGGTACCGGCAGACACTGTGTAAACGTGAGACCTTTATCTGGGGTGCCCAGCAACCATCCTTCCACTAGCCTCATCCGTTAAGGCCTATCACATGACACCACCTCTTCACACACACTTTTTGTCTCCTAAATGTGTGTTTTACAGAGGGTCTGGGATGAAGCCAGCATCCGTGGGATATTATTTTGATCACAGGGCAGCAGCTTAAATGATAACAGCATTAGAGTAAGAAAAACAGGACTCGTGTAATTTAAAAGGCCTAAGTTGGAAAGGTTTTGAAAAGTTTATAGATTAGGTCTATGATATTAGGTAAACATCCAAGGCAAATATACTTCTAATAATAGGAATACCCTTTTTCAAACTGAGATGCTTTTCTTTAAACCCTACCACTCGCAGGACTGAGGGCAAGAGTAGCTATGGAGGCCCAGGTAGCACATACCCAAACGTGCTCTAGGCCATACTAACAAGCGTGGCATGCGCGTGTATCTTCTCATCCTGACCGTGCAGTAGTGAGGAGCCATGTGAGCCCACGGCTACCGTCAAAACCCTAGGCCCAGTGATGTGCTCATGAGCAACTCCTTCTGAATGACTATGAAGAACTGCTCCCTCTTCTCTGTGTTAATTGGCTTTCCATTACGCTATGAAAAAATTGCTATAACCAACTTATGGAGAGAGAAAGATTCACTTCGCCTCAGCGTCCATGATCAGTTGGCCCCACCATTTAGCAGCACATCATGGTACACAGCACATGCGAGAGCCCGCTGCTCACCTCAGGGCTGCTGGAAAGCAAAAGAGATAAAGAGGAAGAGGGGTCTCACAATCCCTTTCCAGCCCCCCAACGATGACCTAAAACCTCCCACTGGGCCCTACCTCTTAAAGGTCCTATCACCACCTAGTGGCACCATGCCTGGTCCTAAGCCTTTGACACAGGGGCCTTTGGTTGATAGTCTAGATGCAAACTCCCCATGCAGGCTTGAGGCTATTTGCACTCAGAAGGATAGGTTCTTTATACTGGGTGTGTTTTTAAGGTGGAGGGGCAAGACGTTGGCCCATCATGATGAAACAACACAGACATAGCATAGCTATGGGGACCAGGGTGGGTGTCCAGGGAAGGAGTCCTTCTTGCCTGGGTTTAAAGGCCTGGCTCAAGGAGCAGGGGACCGGTACGTTGAACACTTCTTTTCCTGGAGTTTATAACTAAGTTCTCTGATTTGACTTTCTATTTTTTTTTTTTTTTTTCAAACTTGACTTTCAAAGAACTCTTGGTCAAGGCTTGAGACCAGGCTTCCTACAGCAACACTAACTGCATCAGCACTTTGCAGTCCAAGGGGATGTGAAAGAATCATTTTTTTTCTTTTTGAACAAACTTGTTCCTACCAGGTTTGGGAACATTAGAGAGAGCTGAGAAGCCCCAGCTCTGGCGTGTTCTCCATCTTACCCAGTTCTCCTTATCAGAGAAAGCAAATCACTGATTACCTAATGACATAGGCAGTGTACAGATTTCACAAAAACACTGGAAGTGGAAGTACCAATTTTCTTTTTTTTTTTTGGTTTTCCTCGGGTACTGGGAATCAAACTCAGGACCTTGCACTTGCCAGGCAGGCGCTGTGCCACTGAGCTAAATCCCCAGCCTGAAGCACCAATTTTCTGATGGCTTCTAAAGGGGAGCACATGTTATTTAGATGTAATCTAAACCACTTTAGGACCTAAATTTATTCATTTATGATGGAGTAAGATGCTGCTAATTTGTTTGGTCTCCTCTAGGCTGTGGTTTAGATTTCTGTTAAAAGAAGCTGAAGGATGGAGGACTTAGGGTTTGGCTCAAGATCAAGAAAGTGATGCACCAAAGTGGGTCATCCCGGCGGGAGTGGTGGCACACGCCTGTAATTCCAGCACTCGGGAGGCTGAGGCAGGAGGATCCTCTCGACTTCGAGACTAGCCTGGGCTACAAAGTGAGCTCAAGGCCAGACTGAACTACATAGCGAGACTCTGTCTCAAAAAGACAAAAAAAAGGGCATCACCCCATTTGTAGCCCGGTTGGAAAGTTCTGGGTTCAATCCCCAGTAACACACACACACACACACACACACACACACACACACACACTCAGTACATGTTGAATTGAGCTCGGATCTGTGAGTTGTGCAGGAAACAGCCATCATTTTCTGGAAACATAATGCAACAGGTACACTTCGGATAATATATTTGTTTCCAGTGATTGCTGCGAAGATAAACGGGATACCGAGCCTAAGACACCTTCTATGATTCCCACTCCAAGGACCCACATTAGGCCAGGGAGGGCCCTGCTCAAAGCCGTCTCCAGAGGAGCGGAAAACCCGAACTTTAATTGGTGTGGTACAAAATAGGGCTCCTATAAATATTTACCAAATGCATGAACAGTTGCTCGCTTTCCTCCTTTCTTTTGTTTAACCACTACCTCGCTCTAAGCTTCTGCAAGGAGCCCGGCCCCTGAGTCCTGCCAGCTCCATTAGCGTTTGGATGGAGGGTGGACGGAAGGGGGAGGGGGTAAAGAATAAGTAAAGGAAGCCAGCGGATCTCACACACCGGGGAAGAAAAAGAAATCCTTAGAGACGCAAAGCCAACAAAGAGTCAGACGCGCGAGCCCCCCGGGAGAGCCCAGGAACCCCGCGCCAACGGCTAGGGCAGCCTCCCCGCCCAGCGCGGTCCCCGTCACGGCCGGCTGCCGGCCGGCGCCCCAAGTCCCGCACCCGCGCTCTGCAGCGGCTCCC